CTGAGAATATATAGCCTTAGAACTCAACTGTAAAAAAAACTCGAATTAGAAATGCCCAAAAGATATGAACAGACAATTCATTGAAGGGGATATACAGATGGCAGATAAACCCATGAAAATATGTTTAACAACATTAGCCATTAGGGAAATGCAAATTCAAACCACAGTAAGTTAATACTACACACTTAGCAGAATGACTAAAACAAAAAAATAATGATAACACCAAATGCTGGACTGAATGCGGAGAAACTTAATCACTTAAATGTTGTTGGTGGAAATGTAAAGTGGTTCAGTCATTCTGGAAAAAGTGTGGCAGTTTCTTACAAAACTAAATGTGATTACCATACAACTCAGCAGTTGCATTTTGGGCATTAATCTCAGGGAGTTAAAAGTTATATCATACAAAAGCCTGTATGTGGCCATTCACAGCAGCTTTGTTTGTAATAGCCCAAACATAGAAGCAATGCAATGCTTTTTGATGGTGAATAAACAAACTCTGGCACATGCATATGATGGAATACTACTGAGGAACAAAAAGGAACAAACCACCTATGCCTGTAATCCCAGCACTTTGGGAGGCCGAGGAGGGCAGATCACTTGAGGTCAGAAGTTCGAGACCAGCCTGGCCAAGATGGTGAAGCCTTGCCTCTACTAAAAATAGATACAAAAATTAGCTGGGTGTGGTGGTGTGTGCCTGTAATCCCAGCTACTCAGGACGCTACAACAGAGAATTGCTTGAACCTGGGAGTCAGAGGCTGCAGTGAGCCAAGATGGCACCACTCCTCTTCAGCCTGGGCAACAGAGTGAGACTCTGTCTCAAAACTAAATAAGTAAATAAATAAAACAGGCACTGTAGAGTAAATTCCCTGTGTTTCCGAGATTCCCTGTTTATTTTTTGGATGTTATTGGGCATTTTGGCTAACCTTTCATGGCAGCAAGGTGCTCATCTGGAAAATGGGAATACCCTAGCATTTAACTCAGACTTACTGAATAAATATATGAAGTCACCATAGTGCCTAGCACAGAGTCAGCAATCAATAAATGTTATCTATTAATGTTAATTGTAAGAGAATAGTGAGAGTTTAACACTGACCTGTCTAGTATAAAGTTTTATTATTTAATTCAAAATTAAAATGATGGGCCAGCTGAGTTATTATTTTCTCTAAATTCATTTGGAAGCACTAGAATCACCCAAAGAGCCTTTAAACATTACCAATACTGAGTGCTTATGCCCCTATAGATTCTAATTTAATGGCCTGGGGTGGGGTCCAGAAATTTTTTTTAATGCTTTTCAAGAAATTTTAATGTGCAGCCTTGATTAGGCATCACTACAGTACACATGGTTATTTTCTTATTCTGTCTGTTTAAAAGTATCAAGCTGATTTAGTCAAAGCTTGTTGACTTCGCCAATTTTGCTCTCCCTTCTCTGGTGAAGGGCATCATTTCTTAGAGGAGAGCTCACCTAACGGACTACAATTCCCCTGGATGCTTATGGCCTTAATAATGGAGTGATTCCTAATCCATAGATATTCCACAGTCAGATGGAGGCATCATTTTCCAAGGAGAATCTTGGAATGCCTTAAGGAATCAGCAGGCATTGGAGTATCAATACATAAATTCAGCTCAGCTCAGACCCAGCACAGACATAAATAGGAACATTTGGAGGAGAATTTCTTTTTCTAGTCACCTATGAATGATGATTTTCAGCCTCTCTTATACAGCAAATTATGCTTTTCAATTCTTGTTATTCAGTGGCAGATAAAAGACATGGAAATAATCTAATTGATACCACTTTGGCAGTTTTCAGAAGAGAGATTTAAAAAGAAGAAAACTTGTTTGGTTTTTTCAATATTCCATATCTTAATAAAACAGAGGACCATACTATTGAATTAAAAGGTATTTTTGTTTCTCTTTCATATAAAAATTTGTATGAAATTAATATAAAGGCATTCCAACTGATTTACTTATTTCAGATACAGTCTTTTTATTCCATGTCTGCACACCCTCAAACTCACATCATGGGGCCTCGAAACTTTCACCAGGGTCCTCTCCTGGACTTTCTGTGCATGCAGGCCCCCTTCTGGGCAGGGCTGAGCTGTCACACCACCATCCTGAGGTTGACCCTCTGAAGCTATGACCGTATGGCCTGTGGCAGCTCCAGGCCTAGATCATGAGTTTGGAAGATTCTGACTTTGCTGTCTTGGAATTCAGTTGCCTACAAGGGTGACTGACCTCCTCTGCTAGAGACAGGCCATGTCCAGAGGCCCTGGAGGAGGACGTAACCCCTAGAGGGAGAGGCAAGGGCAGGACAGCCAGCCTCCTACTGACAGTGAGCACCAAGGCCTGGGTGCAGAGGCCTGCCTGGAGAACCTCCAATCCAACCCAGCTCGGCTGCCCAAATGAGACCTCCTTGTGAATAGTATGTACAGTGGAACCATCCAGGCCAACCACAAAAGCATGGGAAATAGAAAGTCCCTGTGGTTTTATGCCACTTAATTTGGGGGTCATTCGTTATATCTCAATTAATAGGTGAAACTCATGCCAGCTTCCTGATTTTAGGAAGAGCTGATTCAATTGGTCTGGTGCTCAGGATCACAAATATCTCAAATAATGCACATTGGTCCTCAGTCTCTAAAAATTCTATTGATGTTTTTCTTAAGAAACATAGTTCAGATGATAATCTTCTTAAACACACAGAAACACACACCACTACCACATTCACTAATAATAATAATAATTAACAACAACAACAAAACTAGTATATTGTGATTTACTTAGAGTGACCAGCTTCAGAAGGGAAATGAATAACTGTTTAGCCTCCATGCATGGCCTGACTATGAAAGAGGAGTTCCTAAACACAGATTGCACGTCTATTCTCTCAATACAGTTTACAGCTAGGTTGCATTAATACATATTCATCAATAGATCAGTTGAAAAACCCTGAGCTCTGTTCATTATACTGTAGGCCTGTGGTCAAAAGGTGTTTTTTTTGTTTGCTTTTGAGATCGAATCTCACTCTGCCACCCAGGCTGGAGTGCAGTGGCACAATCTCGGCTCACTGCAACCTCTAATTCCCGGGTTCAAGTGATTCTCCTGCCTCAGCCTCCTGAGTAGCTGAGATCACAGGCATGCACCACCACACCCAGCTAATTTTTGTATTTTTAGCAGAGATGGGGTTTCATCATGTTGGACCAGGCTGGTCTCGAACTTTTGGCCTCGGGTGATCCACCCACCTTGGCCTCCCAAAATGCTAGGATTACAGGCATGAGCCACTGCACCTGGCTAATGATTTTTTTTTTTAAGGTGACTTTGAGGAGAAGTAATGTGAAAAATGGAGCATTTCACAACACAGATTAGATGCCACATAAGATACAAAGCTAAGAGAAAGGAAACTTATTCTGGGCTCCAAAAATGTGGGGATGTCAGACTGAAATTAGTACTCATGTTTCTGATGAAAGGTCTCAAACTGAGTACTGTGGATTATTCTAGACCATTAATAACCACAAACTGCTTGGAATAACCATGGCAACGACCAGTAGCTATGTACAGTACAATCACCCTGATTACCATAGAATTAGCACAAAACAAATGTTTGTTCTTTTCCTAAATAGATGTATTATGATGATGATAACAGCTTCCTATTACCCCAGGTTTTCCCATCACCAGTCCTACTCCCAACAATGGAAAGATGACATCGTTGCTTGATATTCGTTTCCATTTCTTTCTTTCCTTAAATAAATTTTATTCTGTATATTTCTGTTTATTTTTTTCCTAAAGGACCCAGAGCAGTGCAGAGGGGAATGGGTGGCAGCTGACCTTTCATTCCCTTACCCTCTTGGCTCAGTGATACACAAGAAAACATAACACACACATTGATTCATTGATCACCGTCTGGGCTTGAGTAGGGGGGATGATAACCTTTAAAATAGTGCCTGGAAGCTTCAAATTCAAATGGCCAGCCTGAATTGCATGTTAATTGAAATCATGTAATTTTGGTGTCTTTGGTATCCACAGAGCATGGGCCCCGAATTCCATCTGCTCCCAACACAGAGAGGTAAGCATCCCCCAGCCCAGGGTGTTAAGTTACCTGCCTCTGTGCCGCCATTGTGTGTACCTCACAAAGGCACAGCCAGACCAGGTATCATTGAGCCAGGCCAGCAAGTGAAGACTGAAGTCTAGCCTCGGCCTCTCAGCTTGCTGGCGTTGTGAGCCATGACGACAGCTGGCACTTGGCTGTCCCCAAAACCCCCTTTCACGGTACCCAGCACCACGCTTCCACAGACGATTGTAGCAATTAGCTGCCGTGCGGCTGATGTACCCCGCAGAGGACTGTGGCTCATCTGACACATCTGGGCACAGAAAGTAATTGAAACAGCTGCTTCCGCCCATATGGCAGCAAAAGCTGGTTGTGCAAAGTCTGCTGCCTGGGCTGCACCAACCTCGGGCAAATTAGCCATCATTAATCCCCAGATCTGACCAGCATACGCAGAGCCACTAATCAAGACAGCTGGGGGGTGGGGGGAGGTGGCTGAGAAGGAGAGTCCCTTTAAGATTGCTAAATGGCATCCCAGGTTAAAAAAATAAAACACACACACAAGCACAAATTGCAGTCTTCCTCTTCCTGAACACTTTCACTCCTTCTGCCTGACGAGGACAGGCTGTGTCTGTTGGTGCTCATCGTTAGGAGATTGCTAAAATAGCAGCACGACTTTCTGGAAGTGTCATACTGCTCTATGCAAGCCTGGCATCCTGCAGTTATAAATAGCTAGTTGCGTGGAGAGTGAGAACACGGTATTGTGCTGTCATGGTGTGCTGGCTAGCCATGAAGCCCAGAGAACCACAGCAACTGGGGGCCTGTATGAGAAAGGGAAATAGCACCTGACTTGGTTAGGGGAGCACAGGCAGCTATGCCTGTCTTCTGCAAGGTACCATGCTGGCTTTGGGCAGGATTTGCCTTCCATCATACCACTGACCTCTCAGGGATATGCCTTCTATTATGACATGGAATTTTTAGGTAATGACTAAAAGTTAGTTGTTGCAAATGAGCCTTGTTTATAGGCAGAAGGCCACATGCCATCTGGCAGTAAAGGGTAGCTGTCTCACCTCGGACACAGACATTGATTGAAAGACAGGCTGCAGTTTCAAAGGACTGCACTGACTCAACTTCCACATTGTGGGATGGAATAGGCGGCTGTCTCATTTACATACCAGAACTGATGTCATTATTCTGAGGGCTCATGGTTATGCCTGACAATGCCCAATGTAGATGGTGTGGTGCATCTGGGCAGGGCGTGGCAGGGGTGATGTGTCATCCCAGAGGTGTCAGAAACTCATCCTGAGCAGTAGGGATAGTACAAGCACAGGGTGGATCTGCATGGTCCTGTCACTAACCCCCGAGGCCAGAGAGGCAGTCCAGACTTGGAGATTTCAGTTCTTCGAGAAATGGAAATGTACATAATGAATTAGATTGAACAAAAAAATATATAGCTGCTATTCGAGTCATTGTCCATTACTCTGAGGTAGTTGTTTTCTTCTTTGGTGAGTCTGGACTTCAGGCAGGTAAGAAAACTTCAGAGAACAACTTCATCCTGTGGTTTGGAAGAGACGGATGGGATGGAGAGCTCAGAGATAACTTGATGCTTCTTTTTCAATTCAGCATGTCAAACAAATCCCTCACGCCTTCTCGAGATCCATAAGGAGAAGGCTTTCCTGCAACAGAAACTCTCGTCTTCACTATACAGGTCCTGCAGACTTCTTCCTGATGTCCATGTGAGTTGATTCTACTTGCTTCTTTGGAGAATGTTAAAACCAAAGAGAAAGGGGTGATGATGGGGGGCACAGATCTGAAAATCTTCATAGTATTTATGTTTTTTCTAGAGGAGATGGTAAACTACTGGAGAATTTCAAGCAGTAGAGTGTTAAATTAAGCTTAACCTAAAGCTGCCTTCTTACACATTTCAAGTTTAGCCCGAAGGTCTCTTCTTAACACAGTGAGTTATAAACTAACTGGATGTGTAAATAGACTATAACCTACTCTCTTGTCAATCACTGAGTTTCTGCCAATCACAGGTGGCCAACTGTTCAAATGGGGTTCAAATAAGGCAAACACTGAACTGTAACCAATCCAGCTGTTTCTATATCTCACTTCAGTTTTCGGTATGTCATTCTCCTTTTTCTGTCCATAAATTTTATTTGACTGTGCACAGCTCCAGGCTCTGCCTGAACTTACTCTGGTTTGGGGGCTGTCCAATTTGGGAATTGTCGTTTGTTCAATTAAACAATTTTAAATTTAATTTGTCTAAGGTTTTCTTTTAACAAGAGTGAGTTTAGTTTAATGAAAATTCAAAAAAGGCTATTTTAGCAGAATATGCTGACTGCTGTGAAAATTGTAAAAAACAGGAGGAAGAAGCAAGACATGTTAGAAGGCTATTGTGATAGCCATGTAAGAGATGCGTGTGGCTTGGACCAGTTGGCCATGGATGTGAGTGAGGGTGGAATCTGGTTGCCTGTTGAAGGCAGAGCCCAAGGATTGTCTGAGGAAGCCCATGTAGGGTATGAAAGGCAAGAGTCAAGAACCACCCCAAGGCTTTTGGCTAAGGTTACTGAGTTTCTGCTCTGCTCCAGACTCTATGTTCAGCACTTTTTACTTATCTCACTCATTGAATCATGAAGCGATAGTGGGTTAGGTATAAAGATCTTCACCATGCTACAGAATTGAAGTAACTTGCCAAGGTCATGTCAGAGGAGCAGTGACAGACACAGGTGGAAACCTGAGACTGTGTTAATAGCACTCTAGACGTTCATCTTCGCTCTCCTCCTAGATGCCAAGGGGAGCGTAAAACTGGGAGCTAATTCTCAATGTTGGCTTGATTTTTCAGTCATTACTTGCCGACACCATCCCCTTTTCTGTTTCTGTGTCAGCTGCTTGTGTATGAGAACTGGGATGAGACGATTCTGATGCTATGCTTAGTTCACAGCCTCTAGTTAAGAACAATAAAAAATAACTTTGCCCAGTTGGTTCTGTTTACCTTTATAAAACTGGGGTCCCCACCCCCAGTAAGTTCTTTGTTTTTATTTACTACACTGATTATATAATATCCCCTATTTCCTTACATTTTCTTCCTCATGGGATAAAATTCCTGACCTAATCATGATAGAATGACTTCATCATTAGATAAATGTTTTCAAACATTATCTAGATAGTCACTGCTAGGACTTAGGTTGCTAAAATTTATTTTCTAGTGTGACAATATATCCCCACTGAGCTTAGGGTGATGTAGTCTGGAGTCGCATTTCAGAATTCATCAGATGCTTCTAAATGGACTGTTCCGTGGGGAGTTACTTGACAGCGTAGTAGTTAAGAGTCCATGTTCTGTAGTAAAACTGCCTGCCGTTGAAGGCTTGCTCTGCAATTTCTGTGTGGTTTTGGGTGAGTTACTTTACCTCTCTGTGCTTATGTTTCATCTTTTATAAAATAGAGATAAATAGTATCAATATTCGAGGGTGGTTATAAGAATTGTTGCCATGCATAACTTCCTAGTAAATATTAGCAGTTTTAAAATCATCATCATCATCATCACAACCATCATCATTAGATAACACAATCCTGGCAAAAATGTATCTTACCAAGTTGAGGTTGAATTGAAAACAGTCAACTGGAGATAAGTAATATTGACATTGCCTGCCTTAACCATTTAGATGTGCTTTCCATCTAAACACTGATATATTATTTGCATATATATCTTAGATAATTGCTAAAAACATATGCTTTTAAATTATGGATTTACAAGCAATTTGGGGACTATGACTAATTGTGATTCGGAGTTAATTATTGTCAGTCCAACTAAAAATTATGAAGCACTTTCCCAAACCCATCGGTAACATTTAGGAGACCCAGGGAAAGAGCACAGATGGAGGATAACATACCATATATTTAAATATTTAAAAGAGATTGCACCCTGGACTGTGTAGCCCATATCTGAGAATGACTGTTCCCTCCTGGCCTCTGGAATGGATATATGATCATTGGAACTGTACTTCATGCTTCATTCTCACTCCATGTGCTAGCAGTCCATTTGCCTTCTGCCCCTGAAACCAGAATGACCTTGACGACTGGTTCATAGCAATGAGTTATCTCATGGAGGCAAGAAGAGTCTGATGGTTTCAGATAGCTCTGGTGGTAGGAGCCTTTGGAAAAACAGGTCCACACAGCCCAATAACATACTCCAGCACAGATAACAGAAAAGAAATAGTCTTCCAGCAGACCCCAAAGGAATCTTACCTATTTGGCCTTGCTAGAAATTAACTGCAAATGAACTTTGGGAAGAAGAGTATAGGCTCCTTCCAATCCACCAACTAGGCTTTGCTCTTCCTTTTCAACCTAACTTTAGGTTCCTAGAATGGCTGTTTTCAAGAATGAGGCTAGAAAGACATTGAGGGAGAATTAGAATAGTGCAGCAGAAAGACAAGAAAATTCCCCTAACCTTTCATAGGTCTAATATTGCTTTGTCCTCCTACCTCTTTTGTTACAGTGGATGACATTTTCACTAGACAACATGCTTCCCTGTTTCATCTTCAGGATAGACTTATATTTTGCTTACTTGGTGTTTGTTGATTCACCAGAGTTTTAATTGAATTATCATCAGTATAGAGGCAGGAACTAACTTCCCCGTCATACATAACACACTCTGTGTATTCCAAGAGTGAAGAAAGACCTAATGCTCTACATGAGAAAGATTGAGTCAGAGCCAATTATCAAACCCCATTCTGTTGGCCAAGAGCATCTTCATTTTAGCTGTTCCTTTAGGGTGTTTGTGGATAAAACTTCTTCACTGGCCAGGTGTGTCATCCCAGCAATTTGGGAGGCTGAGGTGGGAAAATCTCCTGAGCTCAGGAGTTTTAGAGCAGGCTAGGCAACATAGTGAGACCAAGTCTCTACAAAAACATTTAAAAATTAGCTGGACATGGTGGTGTGTGCCTGTAGTCCCAGCTACTTGGGAGGCAGAGGTGGGAGGATCGCTTGAGCCCAGGATGTTGAGGCTGCAGTGAGCCATGATTGCACCACGCCACAGCAAGCCTGGGTAACAGAGCAAGACTCTTGTCTCAAAATAAAACAATAAAATAAAATAAAGTAAAATAAATAAAACTTTATTTATTTTACTGGAGGGCAGGGAATCACCTCCAGTGCAATATAATTTGCCTCTGCTCTGTGTGTGTGTGTGTGGGGGGGGGGGAATAGGGGTGTGTGTGTATGTGTGTATGAAATGATGGAACCTCCCAAATCAGTTAAGAGTTTTTATGGTGGAGTGGAATCTGAATCTGGGGATGGGGATGGATGGGTTACAAGTAACCATCTTTGCTTCTTCTAGTTTAGTATTTCAGAAAAATGAATGCATGCCTCAACAGTGTTAAAGAGGCTGATAAATTAGTTTTTTTTTTCTCTCTCTCTCTTTTTCTGCTAATATTTCGGGTTCCTTTTTTTTCATAGCATTGTGACAAATATGAGTAGGAAATCAATTCGTAGGGTAAAAAGACACAGCCCAGTTATTTCCTCTTTTAGTTATTTGTATCTTGCTTCTATTGTAGGCCCTTTAAAAGGTGATCTTTATAGATACTTAAAAGAGGAGAGTAAGCATCCCAATCACAAAGAACCTGCACATTGCTGATGTGCAGCAATGTATTCAGTATTATTTTGCAAATTTCCTCTGTGAAAGCTGATAAGTAAGCAGTTGAGTTGGAAAATGAAATCCTCTATTGACTTCAGACTCAAATTTTGTCTCAATTGCTGACAAAACATAACCAATCTTTTAGTTACTGCCAATAAAGATTATATGCTTTAGAAACAAATTTCTTATCTTATTTCCAAGTGTGTTTTTAACAGCCTAACAGGACAAGAGCTCTTGTCGATATTTTTACTTATTAGAAAGTACTCACTTTCTCATTGACGAAAAGATTTCAAGCTCTCACAAAGAAACAGTGTTTAAAATTTTTGATAAATATACGTATTACTAGAGTTCTCTGAAATATGCTGTGTCCTTGTTCTATTTTCTTATGTTTCAGGTCAGAATTGTGTAGTTTCTTGTTACAGGCTGGGTGAGACATACAGGGAAAAAGGTAGATGCACTGTTATTTTCCTATGTTTCTTTGATTTTTTCCAGTGATCTATAAACTAATATAAAGACCCTGAAGGAGTATACTGTGTTTCTGAGTGAATGAAGAGATAATAATTTAGAACTGACTGCGTAAGAATAATCATTAAACCAACATGGTTTTATTTCTTAAAATGGTGTTTGTATTAGCTTTTCCTCTAGTTTTTGAAATAATCAGTACTAAATATGGTCAGAGCAGAGTGATATAAATTACTTATCCCCGATGCTTCTTGAGTAAATGCTAACTAAAATCATCATTTCCCTAGGCACTTAATTGGAGGGGAAAGAGGCAAATGCAATGCCAGTCTTATGCATATTGGCTTCCAGCTTCCAAAACGCCTTTTGTGGGGTTGAGAGGGAGACTCTGAAACCGCACTTCTGCTTTGCCAGCTGCCCATGTTAGCCCCATGATAGGCTCTGCAAACAGTGGACAATAGAGAGTGAGGCTAAAGGAGGAAGAAGGTGCCACCTACTCTTGCCTGTTTGCCTCCTGTCCCTTTCAGCATCACTCCAACTATGGCAGCTGTTTCCTGCCCGTCATTTCATTCTTGACTCACAGAACAGCCTTATTGTATCCTTTTAGAAGTTTGAGCAGCAGCCTAGAGGTGTTTCTTCATTGGAGGTCTGAGCCCAAGCAGCACAAAGATCCTAACCTTTGCTCCCAAGTTCTGATATCTGCAAGGACTTCCCTTTTATTCCTTCAGATATTATCTTGGGTTGTTTAACTTGGTGCTGTCTTTTTGTTCTTTAAGTAACCCAGCACTCATGCTGTCAATTCCTTATATATTAAATTCTGGACACTGGTATACAGCAAGCTGTATATTCCTGATACTGTGGAGGTGCTGAGGGATGTAGGGGAGAAAAAAAACTTCCTTTTGAGGCAGGAGAGTAGGTTGGGGATGCAGGGAACCTAAGGCTGATTCACAGGGACTTCCTGGCACTGATCCTAAAGGGGAACCTCAGCTTTCCACCCCTAAGTGACAGGGCGAAGCTACTCCCTTAGCAAGAATGTTCTTCTTTTTCTGGTATAGGGAGGGTACCTTTCCTGTGCGAAAGTGTATGACCTCCTTTTAGGTAGAAAAGGGGAGGTTAGAGAGCCCTTTCTCCATCTGCTATTTCTTATGTGCAGTCAGCTCAAAATAATCAGCATGGCAAAGCAGCATACTTTGGGGTGATCTGTTCTGAACCCCATCAGGGTAAACATAAAAGATAATTATTACACTATCTAAAAAAACTGCTGAAGAGATTTTACACACACACACATGATTCCTCATGATTTCTGGTAGTTATGTTCCGTAAGTCACCATGAAATACTGAATTGGTGAGTATAGAAGCATTGCTTTTAGGGGAATGTTCCTTCAAGCCTTTAGTCACAATATCTTCATCAACAGATCAATGCATAGATGCACCTGTATATCGGTGCACCATGTTTTATGTATGTTTCTGTTTAAAAACACCTTGTCTAATATGTATTGTTGATCCATTAACATTGAATTCACAAACATCAGCACTGTATCTCTTAGCTGGATAATTCCTATCTAGTGTA